GCACATCCTGTAGCACAACACATTTTCGTATTTTTAATAGTAATAACGATGAAAATAAATAAAAGACTGCATTAAAATATGCAAGCAATCTGATAAAATGACGTCAAACTAAGATAAGCTGTATTCAGCCCTTTTTTAAAGTCCCACAACTAGGTATGGGGCTCCCTTAAATCGAGGGGGATTAGGCCATAGTACATCACGCTGACCAAGTGCGGGTTGGCGGACTTCACATGTCTTTCGAAAACTTTCTAGGTTCTCTCAGACATACAGGTTTTCTCACAATGTTTTTCTTCGCCGTAAAACAAGTGGTAAATCATGTTGGAAATGATATGCACATGATAATATCAGAGATGCGAAAGCCTGGATTTGAAGCCGTTTCACTCGGTGAACTAATCCCGCGCGCTACCATTGGGCTACCGCAGCTTTAATATAAACTACATGTTAAAATTCATAAAATATAGAGTTAGAATTTTGAAGTGAAATACTAGAGTGTAAAGACTTTATAGCATTTCCCAATTAGGCGTCCTTTAGGGCACTCGGGCACGCGACCGATTCAATTTGATTTAAAATTAATGATTCATTTAGAGGCTAAAAGCTTCTGCTTATTTGCTGTAAAGTGCTGGTTCCGTATTTTATATTAAATCTAGAGACCTGTCCACACTTCACCTAAGTTTTAATTGAAAATGAATAAATTAATACTGAATAATAATATATAATTAAATAATGCCAATATACTAATATATCACAAGAGGGAAACCGGGATTGGGATAAACGAAACCTCTATCCCTATCCATACCGTGGGCTACTTTCTGTACCAAGTTTCACCATAATTAGTACATGGAGTTCATATTTTACAAGAATCAACTATATCGAGCATATAAAAATATTCTAGTCGATACATAAACCATCTTATACGAACATATGACAGCATCTGCAACATGCAATACATTTTCATTTTTTGTTTTATTTCTTCAGAAACGATCAAAATGAAAAGCTTTCAATACTTCGAATAAAAATCCAGGTTGTAAAGAATGAGCGCTTATATTTGTTCTGCAGATTTCACACTAGGGATGTACGTATATAGTATTTGTTATGCAGTAAAATGTATTTCTTTCAGCAGACTTTCTACTTGTCTGTAGAACGAAAAATTACGAAAAAGCAATGGTAGAAGAAGAAGAACAAGAAGATGAAGAAGAAAATATGAAAATAATAAATATCTAATTTTGATGTTAATATTAATATTACTACTGTAGATATGACCTCTTATTTAGCTTAGGCCATAACTCATTATTAAAAATATCATTAAAAATTTTAAATACAATAATATGCCATCACTTTATGCATCAGATTAAAAAGTCGTCTATGTTAGTTTTAGGTATATAAACTACCTCTTTACTAATTTTCACTTCGACTCAATGACTCATTACTGTGACAAATAAAGCCAAATCAAAAAGTAACGGATTTATGGACGATATTTTTTTGTATAACTTTGCGGCAATTTGCGCAATTGTGTGGGAGAATCGCTAGAGCGTTGGCGTTAAGAGCAGTTATTTAATGAAACAGACAAACAGGACTAGATAGTTAGATATAATAAAATATTTCTTCAGCGCTAAATTTCAGAAGCATTTAAGGGACGTTGGTCGATAGTTGTATTGGTCCATATCGAAACCCAATATAAAAATATTGAGTAAAGAACTGCACAAACTGGCACAGTTAAATTTTTAGTTAAATTCTTATTAGAGATGTTTCTGTGTCTACAGTGAAGTCTTTACAGTAAAGCTTTCAATTCCGGCTCCGAATCTTGTATTTGAAAGCCGGTCTTAAAAAAATGCTGTGCAAGTTTTACTTATATTCTACAATCTATGACTTATATATAACTTCTAACTGATATAATTGTTATATATATATATATATATATATATATATATATATAATAAATACTATATATATACATATATATATATATATGAAAAGAAAACCACTTCATATGCGAGTGCTTTTTTAAGTTTATTATTCATTACATAAATACTTTTTAATTGATTCCAAATTTACTTTATTTTTTATTAGTTTTTAATTTTTACATTTAATAAAATAATTGATATAGTGTGTAATTATAAATTTTCCTCGAGAAGAGTTTATTTATTAGTTTATTGTTATTTAGATTGAAATAGAGGCTTTGAATCTTGTTTCTTTTATTATTACAGGTGAGATAATATTTTATTATAAGTGTAATTTTTAAAATATTTTTTGTATTTAAATTCTAATAGTGAAATAAATCTTTTATTATTACAGAAACGCAGTTAAGTCTTTATTTTTCAAATAAGATAAATAACATTATATATATAGGCAAAAGCAGTTCAGTATCTTTTTCTCCTCTGTCAACCGATTTTAATTTTTTTTTGTTTTGACGAACTTTTGAAATATATGTCTAAGTTTTCCTCGCAATAATGATTATGGTTGAATTTTAACCACTATCGAACAATAGTATGCTAAAAAAGTCAAGTTTAAAATAATAACTTATTAATAACATTAGAAAATACATTGCTTTTGTGTATGTACTTTTTTTTATTATATTTTAGGTTGTTCACCTTAACATAAATATTATGTAGAAATTTCAATGGGATTGCCTATTACACGTTAAAATATAATATGAAATAAGTCAGAATACACTAACGTAGAGACGTTATAGACATAGTAATGTGGTCTCGACTTGGCTAATGACCAATACATGGCCTTAAAAATTGAGGAGGATGAAATAAAGTGAGATTTAAAAAAAAACACGTATGTGTGTACTTATGTATGCACGTCAGAAGTTATACTTCTTTGGCGTAACAGAAACAAAATAGCTAAAGATTTCATCTCGTATGTCACAACTCTGTTTGTAACAGGAATGCAGCTAAATTCGTTATGTCGCTTTTTGGCTGTTGGTATGCGCGCGCATCGTAAAAATGTTACTCTCATTTTTTTTTCCAAGCGTGCCAAAATACTTCAAAAATTAGAGAAAATAATAAAAAAAACCCAAACAAACTCAAAGCGGACAAACAGTATATAGCACATAAAACAGGTCAAGTGTTGATACTTTAAAGCTAAGGTTATATTGAAATGTAATTGTCAGCAAAGGTACAACCCTAGTCTCCATTTATTCGTTCGTTGAATGCGTCCCTATTGTTATGGAATATATTTCAGCAATCGATAAGTATAGGTGATTTTGAAAGCTTTAAAAATTTCATATTGTATTTTATTGTTAACTAGTTTTTATCTGTGGCTTCACTCGCGTGATAAATTTGACGGGAATCAAAGGTAGCCGATGTATTATATTGTAATTGTAGGGTATTTTATCGAAATTTAGTTAGCGGATTAAGCGTAATAAAGGTAACAGGTGACGGGATTATTCTCACATTCATAATATTAGTATGGAATATTCAGATTAAAAATATCTTTAAGTTATTGGAATGAGACAAACCTAGCCTATTCTCTATGTATATACATAAGTTTTATTTTCTAAAACCGTGAAAAATAGGTTATAGGTCTCTACTCAGTCTTCTTTGTTCCGGATGACAAGCATTAAGTAGTAGACATATACTTAACTATTATACTATTGACCGATATATCTCATTTACGTGATGTTGAATATAAATCTGACAATCAATGGGCCTTTTTAAAAAGATAAAATAAATTTTGGAAAATACATTTACGCATATCACCTGTATACATACAGGTTGGTTGGTTATGTGGGGGAGACCGGCTAGAATTGCCAATACTACCCACTAAAACCCTATTGGATTCTATGAATGGAGATTTATTAACTTCCCCATCTTGATGGGGCGTTGCAGTATGCTTACGCGCTTAACCACGATGCCCCAACAGCAGGTCCCTCGGTCCACTTTGCTCTCATAGAAGTATAAAGAGCAACCCGCATGGTCAGCCGCCCATCGAAATTAATAACTTCCCAGTGTATCTAAGGCTTCATGCCTGGGTGGGTGGCAATCACTGGGTCTATCTAGATGCTATACGAATTATATAGCACTTTTTTTCTTTTATAGCATGGAATAGATAGACAATTCATACGTTCTATCGCATCAATAAGCAAGAATATAACAATCTTGCATTTTAAAGGTCATGGTACGAATTTGACTAGAGACTGGCAAATCGAATCGGCAAATCGTATGAGGAAACCGATTCAGTAAACGGTAAAGATGTAAAGGTGTGAACTCTTCGATTTGTCTAACATCTGCCAATCGTGTGATACTATTTGCGCATTTACTGCTACATTTCTTAGATATTGATAAATGCACAACCCTTTGAAACTGATACCAAAATGGCACACTTACTATACGAGTACATGGCAGCTTAAACAAAATGTCATTTTATAATTCAAATGCCAATAAGCCATCATAATTATAACCGCTGCAAGAGGTCTTCTCTAGTCCTCATCCTCAATAATATTTTTTTACAATTAAAATTTTACTTTCACGTATTTAAAATCAGAAATCAACCTCATTTAAATAAATAAGAGTTCATAAGACCACTTCGGACATTAAAAAAACTTTAAATGGTATTCCTTCAAAATATTAAGCAAGATGCAAGAGTGTAACTGTTTACCTACATTTATAATCACAGTAAAACAAATAAAGAGTTCAAAAAAGGCACGGATGATAATTCTGTGTTGTGTTACATTATTAAATACACTTATAAAAAAAAAACAAATATATGTTGGGACATTATCACACAGCACCGTCTAGATCCATGGTAAGCTACGAGGGCTATGTTACGGATACCAGATAGTTAATACACTACACATATATAACTTTTAAATACATACATATTATAAATACAAACACCCATAACTGGACAAACATTCGTGCTCATCACACAAATGAAAGCCCCCAGCCGGACTCGAACCCGCGATCGCTGGCACAGCAAGTAGAGTCATTACAAACTATGCCAAACATGTCCTCAATAACATATAATAACTGCACACAAAACATATAGGAACTTACCATCGCCATCATAGTGGCTCCACACTTCCATAAATTGGTTAGCAGACAACTTCTTGAGCTCTCTCGAATCGGGGTCTCGGAATTGCCTCATAAAGTTCGAAGCTTTCTCTAAATTTAATTTTTTAGCTGACGAAGGCGAATCGCAACTCATTTTTATATTTAAAATATTAATATCGATTTTTCAATAAATAACATTCACTAATCGATTTAAAAAATTAAGTTTGACTCCATTTATTCTAAAATATGAATAATTTGGCTTTTTTATTGTCTGCTAGTGTTTAGAATTTCTTGTAAATATTTTTCTGGGTTTTGATTTCAGTTGCTGTTCATATTTATCTGAAACAAAGATGTACATATTATTAAGGAAATAAAATATACATAGGTATATGTATAAAAAACACTATACTGAATTTTAATAGTCCTTCTTTTAATAGATACATATGTACATACTAGCAGAACCCGCGGCTTCGCTCGCGCTAAAACTACAAAAAAAAATCATGAAAATTTGTATGAAACTACGTTTTGTAGTTAATAAACTTTCACTCCCTGTTTTACCCCCTTATAGAATGAAATTCGAAAAATGCTTAAACACGTATTTATTTAATTTTATTGGAGAGCATTATCACCAAGTTTCAAGTAATTCTGATCAAAAATATTTTTTTGGATTGTATTATAACGTGTTTTCCCGTGGCAATTAGATAATCTCCCGCGATAAAAAATAGCCTATGTGACGCAAGCAAATTTGAGGGCAATAATTAGTAGACTTTTAAACTAAAAACAATAAACAACTAAAAACAAACTCTTCAGCTTTATATATTAGTGTATAATTTGTAGGCATGGATGAGAAGCAATATATTATCGGATTCACTAAAAATATGTGGTAGTCAAAGGTCAGCTTGCACTTGACATTCTATTCTAATATTATATTTTTGACGACAAGGTTCTAAAACTTTCCCAATAACAATCAAATTTACGACGCAGTGACAAAGTTTTCTCAATCTCATACCGTTATTTATTGGGATAAATACGATCTTTATGTACATAACTTCTGGGCTAATGATGGACATAGCTTACTAGACTTTGTTTCAAGGTGACTTTTAGTTATATTTCGTAGAGTAAAAGTTCAGATTTTTAATGCTAAATCAATACAATCAATATTGTTAAAGAAATATCGATAGTTTTGGGGGAAAAAATGGGCAATTAAAATAGAATTTCACAGAACATACTATCTGAGTGAGATAGAGTTTTTATGGTAATAATAGTAAGAAAAACAATTTAAAAAACAAGCTTTTCCTTTAATGTGCCACAGAGAAAAAAAATAATCTTGAAATTAATTTAATCCATAACTTTGTCACATTATAAAAAAATATATGAAAGGTATTGTGACTTGCCCTCGCTTCGTTCGGGTGTGTCTCTAAGTAGGTTTTATCTAGTATAGTATTTTATGATCTGTGGTTTTATATAAATAAAAATAGTTACTCTGAGCGTATCTTAGGAAAAAGACACATGCTATTGTGGACTTTATTTAAGCCTTAATTTAAGGCCTATAATATTCTAGTAAATTCTTTTGATGTATCTCTAAAGGTTTAGCCGGTGTTAGCCATGTAATCGTGTGAAAACAGTTTTTTTGACAAAAGATCGTCTCAGGCTGTCATTTTGAACAAAATATCTATAAATTATAGAGATAAACCTTCATCGCTTATCGCTCTTTTTTATTAGTGAAAACCGCATCAAAATCCGCTGCTTAGTTTAGAAGGTGTAAGAGAAACAGACGCAGGAAGCGACTTTGTTTTATACTCTACATAGGTAACAACTTTTCGAGAGAATTTGTTGAAAAATGTTGAGGAGTTGCTAAGTCTGAAACCAATCCTAGATAGAATCAGATCATAATTATGATAAAAATTCATTGTCATAGAAACTAAACCAATATGTAAAATTTCAACTCATTTGATTTGACCCATTCAAATATACTGACTAGAAGAGTATACATTTTCAAATGGAATCTTTAATTGATAGGTAGGACGTTTAAAATTTATTCAAAACAAACTGTAGCGTCTATGCGAATAGCGTACTACAATGCTTCTAATTGATGGATTGTTAGTCGATTCTCATCATTCGAATATGAACAATAATTGTGGGCAATATTCATCGATATTAATCGACAGCTTTAAAATGATATCTTAGCTTTTAATTCAAACATTTTTTCATGTAAGTGTATTATTATGGGATACATAAATATAAAATTAAAATATATTATAGTTGAATAATTTAAATCAAAGAGAATTAACATATTTAGGAAATTATAATATTTCCTTTCGACTTTCAGTTTTAACAAAGTTTTGAGTTTTGGTCTCTTATAAAAGTTGCAAATGTTCGAAATTATCTTTAGGGTATAAAACTTTTGCGAAGGCACGTGCCGCCAAAAGTTAATTTATTTGCTTAATTCCATTAGAATTTCTATGGAAGACCGTTATTAAGTTTATTAGTTTTACAAGTTGTTGAAGTATTCAGAGTAGAACTACAAATTTGAATTTTATAATAAACTAGCATTGCCCGCGGCTCCGCCCGTGTTTAGATGACCAAAAACCAAATTCTAAGGTTTTACATATTAGTATACTCTTACATTTCAGTTTTTGTATTTTTTCTCAGAAACAAGATTTTTTCCCACGGTAAAAAGTATCCTATATGTTGATCCGGATAACCAGCTATCACCATACCAAATTTCATCAAAATCCCTCCAGTGGTTTTTCTGTGATGCGGTAACAGACAGACAGACAAAAATTCTAAAAACTATAGATTCGGTCTCCGAATCGATAATAATGTTTATTTCAATAAGATTTTCCAAAAAATATTTAATGTACAGATTCGGCTTGGTTACAATTTTATTATATGTATAGATTTTAAACAAGAAATCCGTTATTGCAATCATTTTAAACATGTAAACCAAATCTCTGTAATTTCGTATAAAAGATAATAATTTTCTAAATTTTGTGAGTTTTAGTTTTACCAATATTTGTGTTACGTATTAATCAATAAACTAGCCTTCTATCAAAATTTACACCGACCAACCTATTGAATTGGCTAGCATGTACGGTTGCAGATCCAGAGATATCGATGCGGCTTTGAGTGAAAGGAATAGATAGTACATTGTGTTTGCGCACGCTCTTGTGTACTATATTTCTATGTCCTCCGCAGGTCTTAATGAAATTAGCGTCCGTGTTTGAAATCAGTCAAATTACTTAATAAATTTTATAAGATCAGTTAAAGATTGGTCAGAAGGACAAACTATGTAGGGTATTGTTAAGGGGGTTCTGCCTGGACCTTTGAAAATATATGGTATTTTTAACATAGGTCCTTGAGTAGATAATGATAATGTCCTCACGACTGACACCACACACACCATTCTCACTGAGACTAGCTAACTGCGCAGGAAATTGTTTAGTATACTAGCGACTCACCCTCGTTCCGCACGGATTCGTTCCTAGTTACGTTTTAACGTTTAGTATACATTTCTCATAGATGACATATTTTCCCGCAGTAAAAAACATTCTATATGTTGACTCGGATAATCAGCTATCATAATACCAAATGTTATCAAAATCTGTCCAGTGGTTTTCTCGTGATGCGGTCAGATAAACAAACAAAAATTCTAATAACTATACATTCGGCCTCTTTTTACCGTCGACTTCTTTTTACGCTCATACTTTTATAGGACAACAATTCGAAACAGCCGATGAGAGTTAAAGCGCAGGACCGACGCCCTTAAATATTCTATGACTGTTACTGAGACTCTCTAAATAGAAGGACTCAAAAAATAAATTTAGTCCGACCCGGGACTCGAACCCAGGACCTCCGATCTGCAGCCATACATGCTAGCAACTACACCACCGAGCTAGTTAATGCCTTAAGTATAGTAAATATACTACGGCGATTATTGGAAAACACGATCAAACACAAAACCCGAGAATAATCATTCCGAGAACTACGAGTACAACAATAGCCAAGACGAATAATTCCACAAACTGAACTAACAAACGCAGCATTTGAATGTTATAATTTCTTTGACTTCACTGATATAAACTTCTATAATATTATTAACAAAATTCGCTACTATTTTCTTAAGACCCTGTCTATCTGTCAAGTACTATCACAATAAGTTTTCAAACAATCTTTTAAACAACAATAATTATAATTAGAAATATGAAAAGTAAAATTTAGTTCTCATGTACACCAATTATTTTGGGTAAATAATACCCTACATATAATAGCAAATAATTTAGGGTATAAATATATTATAAAAATAAAAAACCCGACTGCATAAAAGCTAACTAAAAGATTAAAAAAGTATACGTTGGAATATAGTATTATGCAGTCGGAGACACACGTTTCATCTTTGCCGCAAGATGTACAATGTACATACTCGTATGTACATTACACATTATGAAATCTAGCAGCCCCCATATTTATTTATTTTTTATGTCATCTAAGAACACTTGGACTAATGAGACGAATCTAACGATATTAAGGAAATCCATCAAGTGCTTTGGAAGATATGAGGGAATAAAGAATATTACAAATAAATTTACAAAGATAGGTGCGAAAAACATAACCCTTTCCTTGCAGTCGGGTAATAAAAATACCCTGAAATTAATATTATAATTTTAGGATTTAATGTCTATTTTTGTCAGTCTTAAAAACGTAAAAGATTATGATACAAGCCCGAGTATAATAAACACCAAATAATCAAGATTTCATATCACTAAACAATTTTAAATTTTATTGTTGCTAGTTTTTCGCCCAATGGTCAAATTTTGACCATAATTATAACCATTTTTAAAAAATTTAAGAAAATATATTATATGAATTTAAATTTTTCCCAAAAAAACATTCTCTTTTACATTCGTATAATATATGTATATCTGAGAATATAGACATCTATAATATGTACTTACAATACATTACAGTTCAGTACCATTATAATGAAACTAACTATTATTTATTATCTTTACATACCTAAGTATATAAAAAAAAATTTCGAAAAGTTTTTATTGATATCACTAAATCGGTTGACAAACAGAGAAAAAATGGTCCTGAATTATTTTATCTCTGCCTATTCATCTATACTAATATAATATTATAAAGAGGTTAAGTTTGTGAGATTATGAGTTTGTGACGTTGTAGAGGGTAATCTCTGGATCTACTGAACCGATTTAGATGAAATTCGGTAAGAAGATAGTTTGAGACCCTGGGAAGGACATAGGATACTTTTTATCCCGGAAATCATCCCTTAAGCTAGGGACGAACCCGAGCGAAGCGATGGTAAGTTGCTAGTATAT